TTTATGTTGTATTAATATTAATCTCAGGATGCATTTCCTTGAATTAAATAAGCTGCCAGCAAAACGCTTCAGTTTACCATGTTCATTCAGCTCTTCAGCTTCAGCACGCGCAGCTCAACGGCTGCTATTTAAAACAGTGGTATTAATTTGTTACTTTTTCAAAATCATCGATACATTATTAATAACAACAACCACTTGTATTGTTCTCTTATTATTTTCATCAACAATATGGTTTAGTAATTAAAATCATTTAATTATTGTCCGTGCAGAGGCTATTCGACTCATAAAGGTGTTTGCTAAGCGTCTCTGAAAGACTTCGAGTTTCCACACCTTCCGACCAGTGGATTTCCACGGCTCTCTCAGTTTTCATGATGACTGGATCGTGCACACGCACTCTTTTTTCTCTTTTAAAATACCAGTTTCTAGCAGATTAACTAACTTCCAAGTGGAGCACAACTGCTGTTCAAGAGTTTGGGATCAGTACCATTTTAATGTTTTTAAAGACTGCTCATCAAGGCTGCGTTTATTTGATCAAAAGTACAGAAAAAACTGTGATATTATGAAATATTACTTTAATGGTTTTCTATTTGAACATACTTTTAAAACATGTATTTCTGTGGTGCGCAGCTGAATTTTCAGCATCATTCCTCCAGTCTTCAGTGTCACATGATCTTCAGAAATCAGTATAATATGCTGATTATTATCAGTTTTGGAAACAATTTTGCTGCTTCATATTGTTTTTGGAAACTGTGATACTTTTTTCAGGACTCTATGATGAATAAAAAGTTAAAAGGAACAGCATTTATTTAAAATTTTCTAACATTATACACTACCGTTCAAAAGTTTGGGGTCAGTAATTTTACTTAAACTTTTTTTTTTTTAAAGAATTGAATACTTTCATTCAGCAAGGATGCGTTAGATTGATAAAAAAAAAAGTGATAGAAAAGAATTCTATTTGAAATAAACGCTGTTCTTTTTAATTTTTTATTCATCAAAGAATGGAAAAAGTATCACAGGTTCCAATAAATATTAAGCAGCGCAACAGTTTCCAATATTGATAATAAAGCAGCATATTATACTGATTTCTGAAGATCACGTGACACTGAAGACTGGAGGAATGATGCTGAAAATACAGCTTTACATCACAGAAATACATTTTTTAAAAGTATATTAAAATAGAAAACCATTAAAGTAATATTTCACAATATTACTGTTGTTTTCTATATTTCTGATCAAATAAACACAGCCTTGATGAGCAGAAGATACTTCTTTAAAAACATTAAAAATCGTATCGATCCCAAACTTTTGACCGGCAGTGTGTATGCGGGTAAAACAAATATAGTAAATGTGGTGTAAAAAAAAATGACTGGACATGAGAAGAAAAAATAAATAAAACTAAAACAAATTATAATGTGCTGATATTTATCTAATATGCTGAACATTATATAACAGAGAGGATTGACAGAGTCTCCTCAGCTCATCAAGGCTCTAAAATACAAAAAAATATATATATGTTTTATAATACCTCGTTTCTACATGAATATATTTTAAAATATAATTTATTTCTGCGATGCACAGCTGTATTTTCAGCATCGTTACTCCAGTCTTCAGTGCCACATGATCTTCAGAAATCAGTATAATATGCTGATCTGCTGTAAAAAAAAAATATCATCAATTATCATTGGTACAAAAGTTATTTTTTCAAGATTCTGATCAAATGAACAGCATGCATTTGAAAGCTGTAATGAAGTAATTACACATGAAAGCAAGCAGGAGACATGCATTATTCACACTATAATGGTGAAATGATTCGGTGTTAAAGTGCGGTCTGAAATGTTGCATTAAAAGTGATTTTGACTTCAGAAATGTAAGATTGAAATGTCACTGTGATGCTCGAGCATCATTTTTCAGTACCTCCACAGAAACAGAGGCATTCTGAGGCTTCAGAACTGCCTGAAACAGCCGCTGAGAGACTTCTCCAGACGAGGAAGCCCTCGGACAGAAATCAAACCACCACCGTCCAGGATCCGGACAAACCCCGAGTGTTTCTGACCTGAAACTTCTCGGCCTGCTTCATTAAGAGTTCACACACAGACACACACCGCAGCGCTTCCGGTTGCGACAGGAGTCACTTCTTCGCGTATCCGTGCAGCTTCCTCTTGGATTTAGTGTCACGAGGTTTCCACATAATAATAATAATAATAATAATAATAAAGACATAATCATGTTTTATTAGTCTATACGGTCTATGGCTGACACAGTCGAGAGAGTAAAATGTCCTTGGGTTTGTGGGCGGGGGTTCATCAGTCTTATTAAAAAGACTTTTATTGTGAAATTTATTCGGCGCAGATTGAAATCTGTGACGTCAGGCGACATTATATTAATATTATAATTACAGCTGCTTGCAGACCTCTCTTTTTTGTTTTTAGAAAAAATTTTGAGCAATATCTTTCATTAATCCAGTTGTCTAAGAACAAAAAAGCCTTAAAAACTGTATCTATCTGTAACTCTTTTCCTATCCTTAATTAATTTCCTATCTCAATTTTATTCTTTCAGTTTGTAATGTATTAACAACCCCCTTTTTCTTTTTTTTCCTGTTCTTTTTTGTTATTATTGTTTATCTTTTTTTATGTTAATGGTTGTATTATTCTATGTGTACTATTCTTGATTTTTGAGCATTAATAAAAAAAATAAAATTAAAAATAAATTACAGCTGCTTGCAAAATGTTTAAATATGTTGTAAACTTTTACATTTTGCATGGTAAATATTACACTCATAAACAAACATTTGCGGATTGTGTACCTAAATGTGAAGTATTCTTAAAAGAAACGGAGTTGTTAAAAAAGTCTTTAGTGTTAATTAATAACAAAAAGAATGAATTTTGTTACATTTTATGGAGAAATTCTTTGAAAAATAATGTCGCAGCTATGCTTTTCAAGTCATTTGTGTACTAAATGTGTCTCTAGGGAAAAGGAAGAAATATCTTTTATTTTTATATATTTTTATTTAATTTTTTTATAATTTTTATGAATTTTCTTTTGTTCCTGTAAGTTGTCTGATTGTAATAATGTGAATAGGTTGTGTTGTATCTATATGTTAAAATCTTTTGTTAATCTGTTTGAAGCAATAATAATAAAACATTTTTTTTTTTAAATTACAGCTGCTTCTCTAACATTTTTTTTTTAAATCTAAAATCTTATTAAATATTGCTAAAATATATTTATAAAACGTTGCACATTTTATTTCTTTATTATAACACTTAAATGTAGTCATTTCGTTTTTAACAGAAATTTAATATTTAGTCACCAATATTAGAAATAAAAAAATATATAAGATTTTAAATTTACTAGGATACACATTTAGTTAAAGCATTTAGTTGTTTATATATATATTTTTTAATTTTAATAGTTAAAATATATTCATAGAATTGAATAAAAGTGTTGCAATATTGCACATTTGATTATATGTAGTAAAAGTACTTTTTAATGGAAAGTAATTTTTGTCATTAAATATAAAAACTAAAACCATTAAAAGATTGTACATTTACTAGGATACACGTTTAGTTTTAGCATCTAATTGTTTCGATATTATTTTAATATTGTTCAGATATATTTAGAACATTTTATACGAATGTTTCAATATTGCACATTTTATTATAACACTTAAATCTAGGCATAAATACATATTAAAAAGAAATATGTTAAAAGATTGTAAATTCACTTGGGTACACATTAGTTTTAACTGCATTCTTTTTATTAATTTATTATTTGTAAGCCATTTTCTCAATAATCCAATTAGAAAAACAAAAAAAATTTACATTATTTTAGAAGTATCAAAAATTAAAAATATATATTTATACAATTTAGCTAAAAACAATATTACTTAAAAAAAAATTATTCTAAAAGTTTATTTGTATACCATGAATATATTAGGGCTCAAGAATATAGATACATATATATTATACAGTAATTGCAGCTACTTGACATTTGTTTTTAAAAAGACCCAAATTCCTATTATTAAATTGTTTCCTCAACACTCGTGCAATTCCAAAATATCAAATATTATTTAAATATACATATAACATTTTATAAAATGTTGAAATTGCATTAATCGTAACTAACTGTACTTTTGAATGGGTTTTAATATTTATTAATAATAATTATAAAATATCTAAATTAATCATAATTTATCAATGAGAATAAATGAACACTTATTGATAATGTTTATAATATTTAGTATCGAGTATACCAAATATTAAAAAATTAAACCTTAAACATTAGAAGATTGTAAATTTACTAGGATGCACATTTAGTTTTAGCTGCTTTTTTTTAAAATTATTTTTTTTTAAATTTCTCAATAATCATAAAGTGTCATATTAGAAAAGTAACAATATTTATAAGTGTTAAATATCGTAAAACATTTTTTATAATAATTTATTTATTCTAAAAGTAAGCATTTAATGCTGTATTTAGTCACCGAATACAATGGCAATCTTATGCTGTATTATAAGGAAATTAATATTAATTTACAAGGAAATCTACTTGTTTCACATGAAGCGGAAGCATGTTTTAACCCATCCGAGTTTACATGAATGGGACTCATTTTTGGGAAGTTATGAGGAAGAGTGATGTGGCACGTGATGAAACACACACAGACAAGGTTTCACGACATGCTGTTCTTTTTTACAAATCTACCAGGAACTTGTTTTTGTGGCTTTTCCTGTATGTTCTGCTCATTGTTGCTTTCCCAGCATCAATGCTTATGAGAACTGCAGCACATTTTCTTCTTAAAAACGGTCTCCAGCGTCTGTTCAGTTTGCATTATACGCAGCGTTTAACATTTAAAACCAAAATGTAAATTATATGGTTGTGAAGTAAACAACATAGCTGCTGGCAGATAATACAAATTTTTTTAAAAGTTTCATAAAAAGCTCTTGCATTTTCAGTAAAAAGAAAACGCTGCACGTAAATATTAAAACTACTTTTATTGGCACTATATGAAACAAGTTTGCAAAGCAGTGTTTTATTTGCTCGTCTTGTTTACAACAGCACAGTATTGCTACAAAACATCAATATTGCTAATCATAGATCAGAATGCATTTGTGTTGTTTTACACGAAGGTTGTTCAACAGACTAGAAACAATAGAAGTTACGTCCGCATGTCCCGACCACGCAGCAGCACATAATTCTGCACGAATGGCTTGAAGCTGTTACTGCTGCACAAATCAGCCAGCACCGCTGGACATAAATAGTTGAGGTTACAGGCAGACGTTTCCAAAAGCTGTGCATCACTATGACCAAAGTCCTGCAAATTCAGATCAGTATTTAAAAAAGAACAAAGAGCGTGCCGCTGACATGTTCAGGAGAAGCTCATGACAGTCCTGCCCATGATCTGAATGTCATCGAAGGGGAACAAGGCCAAAATCTGCAAAAGCAAAAGGAGAAACGGTGACCACATCATCCCATTTCTAATGTACAGCTTACAGAGCAAGTGCATTTACTTTATGCTGCTTTACAGTTAACACGGCACGCACAATAAAACAATCAATGAAAGCATGTAGAGTCAACTTAGGATTTCATGCTTCAGTTAAATTAAGAACCTGTTGAAATGCATCGGTTGCACATCATGCACACTAATAACCAAGACTTAACTATCACTCAATCTAAGACAATATAAACAGCATTAGTATTATTTATATACCATTATAGTATTTATTATTATTATTATTATTTTCAGTTTTCATTTTAGTAATTTTGTGCTTTTGTCATTTTTTTTGGTTTCTTTTTTTTATTCCATTTTGCTTGATTTTTTTCAGTTTTAGTAATTTTAGTATTTCAACTTAAATTATTTCATTTCAATTAGTTTCTAGGGATTTTGAGCATGTTGTTTTGCAGTATTTTTAGTAGTGTTATTGCTATTAGCTTTTGCTATTTTTACTAGTTTTTGTGGTTTTAAAACATTTCTGTTTAGCTTTATAAAATATTTTTCTTTTTTAGTTTGAATAATTTTAGTACTATTTAGTTTTTTTGAGTACGTTGGTATTTCAACTTAATTTATTTTATTTAAGTTAATTTTAAATATATATTTGCAAATTATTACTGTACTTTTTAATGGAAGTTAATATTACTATTATTTTTAGTAATAAATTAATAATTATTTACAATACTTAGAATGTTTTGTATCAAACATACCAAATATTAAAAATAAAAACATTAGAAAACTGTATATTTAGTGGCTTCATTTTTTCGTTATTATTTTTTAAATGTATTATTTTTCTCAATAAACATATAGTGCCATATTAGAAAAGTAACAAAAAATATGTTATTATTAATTTATTTAGTAATTTTAGTTATATTGAGTACTTTGGTACTTCAACTTATTTTCAGTTTAAGTTTTTCCATCTAATATTTATATTTTATTTCAGCCTTATTTCAACGAACAAAAACAGTTGAATAGTTTTAGTTTTGATTAACAATAACAACAAGTTTGCAAAGCAGTGTTTTATTTGCTCGTCTTGTTTACAACAGCACAGTACTGCTACAAAACATCAATATTGCTAATCATAGATCAGAATGCCTTTGTGTTGTTTTACATGAAGGTTGTACCAAATATTGAAAATAAAAACTTAAACATTAGAAAACTGTAAAATTAGTTTTAGTGGCTTCTTTTTTATTTATTTATTTTGTCAATGAACATATAGTGTCATATTAGAAAAGTAACAAAAATATTATTATTAATTTATTTAGTCATTTTAGTTATATTGAACACTTTGGTCAAGGCGACATTTAAAAGTTTTTCATCTAATATTTATATTTTATTTCAGCCTTATTTCAACGAACAAAAACAGTTGAATAGTTTTAGTTTTAATTAACAACTCGTGCTCGACTACATCAAATGGTATGTTTTACTGTGTTGTGTATGTATGTATATATAGATATGCATGTATATATATATATATGCATATAATAATAATAAAAAAAAAAAAAAAAATTCTTTACTACTATGTGTTGTATGTGATGTGGTGGTTGTATTTCTGAGCCTAAGACAAATTTCCCTCAGGGACAATAAAGTGTACCTAACCTAACCTAACCTAACCATAACAACACTGATACGGAGTTGTCTCTGTCTCAGTCTGACACTGAAGATTCTGTTGAACGCTGAAGTTAGATAACCAGGGAATTTCGCTCTCCTTACGTCATCGTTGCCGTCAGCCAGATCCAGGGCTGTTTCATCCTCCATGTTTCTGATCATCTTGTCGGCTCCAGCTTGGCACAGGAGGTTAGCGATGGCGGCGTCCTGTCGGCCCACGGCTAGATGCAGCGCGGTGCAGCCGTTGAACATGGCAGCGTCTACATTCGCCCCTTTATTCAGCAGCAGGTTCACCGCCGGCGCGTCGTGGAGCTCCACCGCCATATGTACCGCCGTCTTCCCGCTCGTCCCCTCCTGAATGAGGAAATCAGCCAGATGTTTGGTCACAAGACTGAAGGTTTTCACTTCACACAGCAGAATCAGCCTCGAGCAGCTCACCTGGATGTTCAGATCCACCCCGTTCTTCATCAGCAGCCGCATGAGACGCTGATGCTTGTGCAGCGTGGCCACATGGAGACACGTGAGCCCTGCACAGTGAAGATCAGATGGAATGTTTTATGCCTCAATTCCTATATAATACAATAATATCAACTCTGATGTCAGAAACATACTCTACATAAATATTGAAATCGCTTTTGGATGGGCGCTCGCTGTTCACTTTCGAGTTTGTGATCACTCTGTGTGAAGGAAGCACATTTTACTCTCCACCCCGTGATCAGTCAAATCTGACTCCTGCAGCTCGCGTTGGATGAAGGGTTGCCAAGTCCATCTGTTTCCCACTGAATTGCGCTAAGTTTAAACTGGCGCCGTGGGATGAATTTTCCCTGTGCGTTAAAGGTTTCAAATATTGCATGAATTACATTTGACTGAAATGCTTATTAAACACATTTTACTCTCCACCCCGTGATCAGTCAAATCTGACTCCTGCAGCTCGCGTTGGATGAAGGGTTGCCAAGTCCATCTGTTTCCCACTGAATTGCGCTAAGTTTAAACTGGCGCCGTGGGGTGAATTTTCCCTGTGCGTTAAAGGTTTCAAATATTGCATGAATTACATTTGACTGAAATGCTTATTAAAATATTTTGCATGATAAAATTGCACTAAATGTTAAGTTTTGTGAAGGAGGGCCACCGGTAGGAAGCCTTTTAGCTGTGTTTATGATCAATGTGCATAACAGTGACTGTAAAATATTTTTTTTTTAGGTATGGAAATGACATATTTTGAGTTTTGATATTTGGGATAGGGTCATTGCAGTACTTGGGGATGTTTTTGACTGGCATGGGCTAGGTTTGTCACGCAGACCTGGCAACCCTGGCTGTATGGAGCAGAGCAGACGCTTTCAGTTTAGTGCATCATTCATTTTCCAGTTTAACTAAATGGTTTTTATTTCTATAAAAAAAGCAAAGCGACAGTGGGGGGCGGTGCCACGGTGGGCAAGTAATGCATTCGGTGTGGGGCTGAAGAACACCGGGTAATACCGGTAACACCGGTAGCTACCGCAGCAAGCCTATTAGCATGTAGTTTCATATAGCTAGGGTCATTGCAGTACTTGGGGCTGTTTTTGACTGGCATGGGCTAGGTTTGTCACGCAGACCTGGCAACCCTGGCTGTATGGAGCAGAGCAGACGCTTTCAGTTTAGTGCATCATTCATTTTCCAGTTTAACTAAATGGTTTTTATTTCTATAAAAAAAGCAAAGCGACAGTGGGGGGCGGGGAAGTAATGTAATCGGTGTGTGTAACGCCGTCTACCACAGCAAGCAGTGTTTATGTAACTCCATCATTCTATCATGTAATGTGAAAAAAAAATTTAATATATATTTTTTTCTCTTTGCTATCAATATGGTAAGTTTAATGGTAAAAAAAGTAATCTAAAAAAGTAGAATGCATTACCTAAAACAAGTAACCTAGATTGCAGTACTTGGGGCTGTTTTTGACTGGCATGGGCTAGGTTTGTCACGCAGACCTGGCAACCCTGGCTGTATGGAGCAGAGCAGACGCTTTCAGTTTAGTGCATCATTCATTTTCCAGTTTAACTAAATGGTTTTTATTTCTATAAAAAAAGCAAAGCGACAGGCGGGGAAGTAATGTAATCGGTGTGTGTAACGCCGTCTACCACAGCAAGCAGTGTTTATGTAACTCCATCATTCTATCATGTAATGTGAAAAAAAAATGTAATATATATTTTTTTCTCTTTGCTATCAATATGGTAAGTTTAATGGTAAAAAAGTAATCTAAAAAAGTAGAATGCATTACCTAAAACAAGTAACCTAGATTACCTTACTAACTACAGTTTTCATTATGTAATCGGTAATGGACTACACTTTGTAAGTAATCCACCCAGCACAAACATCAAACAGCTTCACTGCCATAACAGCAGCTGACACAAAGAGAAAACTCAACGATGGTGACATTATGAAACGCTGATACTGGAAGTTCATGATAACATGGAAAAACTCCAGGGCACTTTTTGCTGCCAACTTCCTTGTTCTGACACGACTGTTTCTGTTCAGTAAAAACCCTCACGATCCAGTCAGAACCAACACAAGTGAAGGAACCAGCATCACAGAAGTGTGACTGCAATTCTCAGTATGATTCTTCAAAATATAGACAACAGAAAAACAAGAAAATAGATGTTAGGCTACAATGCACTTGCTAGGGTGTTTTGAGCATGTCGCTATGCAGTTGCTACAACAAAACTCACTCATGTCTGGAGCACAAACGCTGCAGGATGATTTACACCCTCAGCTTTAATACTAAGCGATAGAGGTTTGTTCAATTCACTAACAAGTATGATGACTTCCAAACAGTCTCTCACCTCTCCAGTTCTGTGCTTCCAGCACGGTGGCGAGTTTGCTGGGCGAGGCGTTGTGGATCATCTCATTGGCACATTCCCAGAATCCGTACTCACACGCCACATGGAGAGGGGTGTTTCCTTCCTGGTCCTGGAGCTCCAGTGAGACCCTCTTTTCTACAAGGCCCTTCACTACGGTGGGCTGGTTCAGGTACGTGGCCAGATGCAACGGCGTCTATAGACAACAGAATTAAATCAGCATTGGACAAATTGCTGTTATGTAGGATTATCATGGCTAATGACAAAAACATTGCAAGGTGACATGAAAATTACAACAGATAGATCTGTTTTTTTAAGTGATGACAAAATAGTTACAGCGATTATGTAAATTGTTTTTATATATATATTTAAAAAAAATATTAAAATGTATATTACATATATACAGGTGTACATATATATACACACACTCTCACACACTTTTTTTTAACAAATATTTATATATACACATTATATTCGTATTATTATTTCATAATTGTTTTAATAATATAATTTTATCATTATTCAAATAATCAATATATTATATTAAATTATACATAGTAATATATTTAAAACTGATTTAATATTTATTGTATAATTAATTATTTTAATATGCATATAACTTTATAATATGTTGATTATTTTAATGATCATAAAAAGTGTGATTTATAAAAATAATAAAATGCTAAAATAAAATTGGTGTGTTTTTAAAATACATTTAAAATTTTAAATATATATATATATATATATAATAACAGTAAAAAATATATGTTTTATTTTTATTATACTTCATTAATATTTTTATAAATCACAATATTTTATGATTAAAATAATCAATATATTATATGTTATTTGTATACAATTTTATATATATATATAAATGTAATTTTATTTATTATTAAATCTGCCAAAAGGGTACATGTCAACCGAAATATGGTTTAATTTTTTAAGCAACCAGATATGTTGGGTTATGTATAGTATGGGGACGTCCCCATGTCTCACATGCAAAGATTACAACCCCAATGCTTCAGGCCAATGTAATTTTATTTATTATTAAATCTGCCAAAAGGGTACATGTCAACCGAAATATGGTTTAATTTTTTAAGCAACCAGATATGTTGGGTTATGTATAGTATGGGGACGTCCCCATGTCTCACATGCAAAGATTACAACCCCAATGCTTCAGGCCATCATGCGCGATCTGACAGTCAGCCTGTGTGCATTAGCAAGAGCATTGTAGAATGGCATTCATCCACCGACCCTTTTGATTTAATGACATCAAGGAAGGACAAGAACTGAGGTTAATTTATTCTAAAGAAGAGGGACCATGCAAAGGTTTACTCAATCTGGGACTTACACACTGACTGTGTCAAAAGGAAACATGTGAGTAATATGTCCAATGGCCTGGCCTTAGTTGATTACGTGGCTTTTGGTAAAAGCGCAGCAACACCAGTATTACTCACAGCTTTAAATGCTGCTGACTGTCAGATTTGTGCTGCGTTTCCTTTAGACTCACACTGATGTGCTTTAAGACCATCTGACCCAATTCTGACATCCTCTCATTTAATAAAACCCAACTAGCATCAAAGCCAACAAGAAAGAGTGTTTGCAACCCATTTTACCTCAACAATGTGACATTTTGGGCTGAAACAGGATATTAAATGTGGGGGAAAACGGTGTGATTTTTATCCATTGGGAACTGATTGGATGCAGGGCTTTTCCTTTCCAGAAAAGAAAGTTGTTTCCTTAGGCGGAGCAATTTATTACATTTCATGAAAGATTACAACATTTTCTTTTTCTGAATAACAATCACTGGTGAATCACTGCCGATAAGAAGGGCTGATTTTGATTTTAAATTGACTGTAATCTAAAACTAGATGAATGAATCAATGTTAATATTAACTACTAGAGTATTTTGAACAAAAAAGAGTCACATATTTGTGTAAGATCCCACCCAGTGCATTTTTACCATTTATGATTTCTGAGAAAATATTTTAGAGCAGAGCCAAACTATAAACATTTATGTTCCCATTCGAATGAGATTTTCATAATTTCAATGGCATTTCCAAGGATGGAAATCACAATTTTAACCCTCTTATGCATGAATTTTTAATAAGGAAAACCCTTTAAATGTTTCCTTTTACTTCTTTCCCCAAAAATGATGCATTATAATGTGAAAGCCACGCATCAGTCCAGCAATAGATATTCCAGAGGTGCATCACCCCCTGTGGTTATTTTAGATGTTACATCACACCCAAAATGGTTAAAACAGCTTTAGAGGGTAATTCATTGATATCTCCAGGTTTAAATATTAATCAGTCTGTTGACTTGGCCACAGCTTCCTTCTACCAAAATGCCAACAAAAAGTCAATAAATGGTTCATTTTGCTTTTCTAACTATAACAATCATACTTATAGACTGCGTAGGGGGCTCTTCAGAAAGCCCCTCGTCTGTTGTCACTGGATAAACCCCAACTTTCAAAATAACAATTGAAACCGAGGCTGTCAAACGAGTTTAATAAACCCCATCATTCTTTGATACGCGCACAGGGAGTTTCCCTCAAAGGGGGAAACTAAAATAACCAAACTCATTACAACATTCATACAAGATTTTCTGTTCCTTCAGGGTTTTAGTCGTGAAACAGGAGCAGAAATCACTCATGAGTCTGCTGAACGCGACAAATGTGTTACGTGCAATTGGGATTCTTAACGTGATACCTGATACAAGTTGTTCTGAATATCCATCAGCTCTGGAGGAAACAGGTCTATCAATTGACGTGCAAAACATTCCTCTTCGTGGATTATGGCCAAATGAAGAATCCTAGAAAACACAGACACACAAACAAAAGAAGTTGCTGGGTAAATGCCAGTTAAACGATGGTTAAAAGCTGAAGCAGAGCGAACGGTTAAGGGAAGGAACTATCAATCAAACCGCAGTCTAAATGCAGCACAATGTGTGATGGAAAAATAGGGCGAATGATACTGAGAAATACGCCACACAAAAGTGCGTGTCGCTGACAGATGCATTCAGCTATTGCGCAACACTGGAACTTTTGTGCATTATAAAAGCATTCATAACGGCGATCGTCCTGCTAGCCAATAATAAAACCCTTTGGTTACTAAAACCCTACAAAAATGACAACGCAGCTGATTTAAAACACAGATGAGATGTGAAGACAAACGAAGTGAGGAATTTGTAGTTGAGTGAATCTCAAGAACAAAGATTGCATTTGCATTGACGTTTTTCCATTAACACATAATCAAGAGTCCTAAAAACAGACTTTTTTTTTTTCTTTATGCAAAATATCCTTTCTCTTTTTTCTTTTGCTTTTGGGCTAAAATATGACCTAGACATGCTTTTGACCGGTTGCATGTAACAAATCCATTCGTTTCTCTTAATTCAGCTCTCAGATGTATCCGAGTCACAAAAAGAACCAGGAAATGATGTATGCAGGAACATAAATTAATGCACGCTTATTTTTTTTTCCCATCCTCTGGCTGCCGTATTTCCTCGCAGGTGTGTAATTTCTCGGCTACTTTCCCCACATGCGATAACTTAGTCTTTACTTTTACAGTAAGCCAGAAGGAAGCAGGTAGAAGCAAGTGGTTTCAGCATGTAAATAATGTGAGAGCAACTTCAGTGTCTTCAATCTGATTGTGGTAATTCCATCATGATTCATATTGTTTCGCTGCATATGAAATTAACAGGTTCATTTCACCTAAAAATGAACATTCGGTCATCATTTATTCCACTTTGTGACCTTGTTCCATAAAACACCAATGGAGAGATTTTGAAGAGTGTTAATGCTGCTCTTTTCCCATATAATGAAAGTGGATGGGGACTGGGACCGCACTGTATAGTGCACATGACAAATAAAGTCCATATGACTTGTGCACAATATTTTTTAAAGTCTTCTGATGGCTGGCCAATATGTAACCACTGAACCGCTGTAGCAAATTCCCAATATATTTCTCAACAAAATGGACGTGCATTTAAAATTAAGTTCCTTCATTTGCTTGCACTTGCATACAGGCCTGCATTGTAACTGATTACATGTAGTTTGGATTACGTAATCAGATTCCAAAAATTAAGTATTTGTAATTAGATTATTTTACATTTTAAAATGCTGATAATCAGATTACAGTTACTTTTTATGGATTACATGATTACATATTATTCACACAATGGCAGTAAATTATTCAGAATTTGATTCACCCCAGTTCTTTTTTTCCCTTTCTAAATGAACCTACCACTTATATACATGAGACTAATAATTATTCAAGTTACTAAACACTGCCGATTAACAGCGGTGTAACACTACACCTTCATCATATCGAGTGACCTTCACTAATTATTAAAGGGGTCATATGATGCTTTTTTAAAGATCATTACTACAGTAAAATTGAGAATATGTATTTCACTTAATAACGATTTCAGCTCTAATTAACAAAACACCTGTTCACCGAAACACTGTGCAGCGCCCAAACTATTAACATGACAGGGAAAGATGGCACCTAAAAATTGCATTCAAAAATGTTTTATGATAACGTGTGTCCCTAATGTTTAAAAATGCATTATATTGTTTTATCATGTAGAAACCGTTTTCAAAAAAACAATGCATATAGAACGTGTTATAGTTTGAATAAAATATTACTCCGCGACCCTTTCCTCTGGACCTCGCTTCCTAAACCGCGTTATTTAAATTGACAAAAACGCACTATTTAGACATCAAAACACATTTGATCTGCACTCAGGTGATGCATGGGAACTTATCAATGAAGGGGTGTTTTTTAAACGTACGTGTCTCCATCCTCTGTAACAGTGGTTAGGAAATTCACTTCCTCTTCGGTGTACTCACAGTCCGTCGCGCTTTCACATTCAGAAATGCTGCATTGCTCAATAAAATCCCCCAAACTGTCCACTGTTAGCGATGAAGAGACGTAAGCGGAGTCCAGTCGCTCGTCTGTAACGCAGGTTTTGTCTTTATCCTCACAGCTGTCTGAGCTCCCGTCCTGTTCTCTGGAAATCGATTTGTACGAGTCGATTCCGGAGTCGATCCGACTTTCGTCGAAATCGAGTTTGCCTTGTTTCTCGCCGCCGCCGCTTCTCGCCATTTCGAAGCTTTGATGTGTATCGTCAGTATATAAATGTAGCGCTGTAAGAACGTAAAATCACCGTGACATTATGACACCAGAGACAGTCGCTTTTGTTTCTCATCCCACCACCGATCAGATACTCCAGACGCAAAAGGCTTCACAAAGGCATTTTAACGTCAAGTCTGAGGTTTCAGGTCGAGTTAAAGTGTGTCAGCCAAACTCTGAGTTAATGAAACTGCTGTGAGAGAGTGTGCTGGCAGTAATGCGAAGTTCATGGGGAAGCGGCACTGTAGGCGGAGTCAATGCGGCTTTCAAGCCGGCTAAAGTGGGAATTCCCCACAGGGAGTGGCAACCCATATCATTACCGATCCAGTCCAAACACAGCATGACAACCCCATGGAATCTCCTGAAAGACCTCAACAACAGAACTGTTCTCTATTTTGGACACCCAACAACTTCCTAAAACTTCCTTTGACTTGACCCGACAGAGTCCTTCATTTAAACCCGAATTGCAACACAGCTTCAGTCTACTCTAGACATTTATGGGTTTCCAGGGTTGCACATGTTGATAGAATCTCATGAAAGTCATCCAATTTAAAATGATCGTGGAAAAATAATAAGTATACGTTGAATATTATATAATATATCCAACTACATAACCATCCTGACAAATGTCTTTAGAGAGCTTAAATTGTCATGACGCATTTTCAGATAATTGAGATTTAAAAGAATACAAATTCATTTACACATGCACATAAATACACAGATTTTGTATTTTAAATATATATATTTTTAATCTTCAATGCTGTCGTTATTTGGACAGTATTTGTAAAGGACAGTGCCAACAGGAGGTGGCGCTGTATATTAGCATAAAAAATGTATATTAGTAGCTACTGGTGTACCTGTGCAATACCCTGTTCTTATATTTATTCCTTAATTCTCTTGATTTGTTATTATTTCACTCACTACTGTACATATCTAATACATTTGCACTATAGCTATTTTGCACATTTAGTATATATAACTGTTTGCATGTGCACTGTCTACTGCACACCTGTTTACATTGCACTGTTTATATTTTCTGTATCATTGTTTGCATTTTGTTAAATGTACTTCTATGTAAATTCTTGTATGTGTGCACTTCAGTGTGAGAGCAAAACATGTCGTTGTACAGCTGTACAATGACAATAAAAAGCTATTCTATTCTATTCAATTCTATTCCGTCTTTAACGCCTGTACTCTACAGTATATCGTCATGCGAGGTATATGATTGATTGATGGAGTTATTACAGCACAAATGATCTGACAGATATCGACAAAAATTATATAACATAGGCTAATACTGGACAAGGCTTCTGCTGAAGGTTACATGATCTTTTCACATTTTAAAGGTTAAATAACTCCATAACCTTTGTCACAAGTCTTTTCATTTCAGGCTTATTATGTCATCTAAAATGAACAGGTCATATGACTTTCATATGACAAAGCAATGTCATAAAATACATAAAACATTTAGAACAAACTGCATTAGACTGAAAAGCATGCTGTTCATACTTTAGGAGTTTTCTGCGTAGCCCATTATGTTGTGGTGAAAGAGAAAATGCAAACTGGCTGATATTAATAGGCTAATAATCTGCTGAAAAAATACAAATAAAGTTATGTATAAATACAAATACCTTTATTTTGATAAAATTATTTAAAGTTAACATATATAAAATTATAAAACTAATTATATTATATAAATAAATAAATTGTACAGAATTTGATTTCTTTTTAATTCCATGCAACCTATTATATGGTGATGAATGGGAACATGCAAACTGGCTATTATTAATAGGCTTGCTGAAAATGCAAATGCCGTCTGTTTCTAATTTTTTTTTTATTATAATAAAACAAATAGAATAAAATAATAAATAAAATATTAAAATTATATTATATAAATAGATTGTAAAATTTAATTTTGTTTTAATTCTATGTAACCAGTTATATGGTGATGAATGCAAATTGGCTAGTTGCATGGCTATGTATTTGATAACATGACATGTTATTTTATTTTGATAAAATAAATAGAAAAAATATATAAATTATAACATAAAATGTGCTGAATTCATTTTTTTAATTGTAGAACATGCGAACTGAATGAAGGCTAATATTCTGCTGAAAATTTATGTTTTTGTCAAATAATTTTATTTTGATCAAATAAATTTAAAAATATTTACAGTAAATTGTATTACATAATATTATAAAATGTAACAGAAATGGAGTATCATGTGAATTATACCACTAGTTTATACTAAAACACGTTTATGTAAGAAATGGGAAACCGCATGCAGAGTCAAGGTCACTACGATCCTCAGCAGAGCCGACTGCGATAGATAAACAACACCTCTCTCTTATCTCTCTCTCCCTCTCTCCCTCTCTCGCTCCCTCTCTCTCTCTCTCTGTGGAGAACATGTCTTCGCTGTAGTAGGGGGACTCTGATGGCGGGAGAGTCAATCATCTGATGACTCTGATGATTCTCTCTCTCCCTCCCTCTCTCCCTCTCTCTCTCTCTCTCTATCCCTCTCCCTCTCTCCCTCTCTCTC